AATAGATCGATCAATCAATCAATGAATCAATGGGTCTCCGAGAGAAGCATGGATAATTGTACGAAGGATTGGATTTCGCCGAATTCCTCGAGAAAAGAGCCGGGGATTCGAGAGATCTCAAGATTCCGTGACTAGTACGGCTGCTCTTTTTGCCCAGATGCAGAAGGAAGAAATCACTTAAGGACACTGGCGCGAGGTCTGGTGGCGTGGGCCAGTACGAGGAGCTGACCTGTTGCAATAAGGATCGGGAGCTCACGTGGTTCAAGGAAGCCGCGTCGTGTGAGTAAGTTGTATCTAATCGACGCAGACTATGCGATCGATGAAGTCATGGTCAAATGCGTCCGCCTGACGGACGCTTCTGATGATCTGATCGGATGCTCAGTAGACAAATGTCTCCCCCTCGAATCTCAGAGACCCCACCAGTCACGGTGATCGAAGCTAGAATGCAGCACCCTGATCAACGACCTCGCGTATTCGAGAAAGTCGGGGAGCTAGGAATCTCTTCCACATTTACGGAAATCGATGCTCGGGTCGCTTCTGGAACGACTGGATTCTCTGATGCAATGCACCTTGATCGAGCGCAGGGTGAGCCAAACTTTCTAAGCGACTTTCCGCGTACCGTTTTTCTGCCTGGCCGAGATCTCCCGCATTAGGCAGCTGATTAAGCCGACGTGGGTCCATCGAGAAGCTTTCTCCATTATTCTCGGTACTGAGGGGTTTCCCACCGTTTATTGGATTTCGCCTTCTTAGGAGCGAGTCGATCTAAATGCAGGCAGCTTCCACACATCCAGGGATAATCTCCGCCCAGTGATGGCACCGACGACGCACCAAGGGGAGCGAGAGGAAAACGGTCTCAATATCCGTCGGCATTCTTACGTGCGTTAGATGATAATCGGCAACGCCGAGTTACCTGTCTCTCGATCTTTTATATCCACAATGTTCCCCGTGATGAGTATTGTCCATTTCACCTTCCGCTCTAGATACTGAAGTCCCCGATCTGGAACGGTCACCGACCGGTCACCACTTAACCCCTGTCACAGTGTTTCCAGACTGACCTAAATTCTAATAGTCTTCTGTGCTCAACCCTTCCCTACGACTCGCTGTATATGAGGACAATAAACCTCAGCCAGCCAAAGGGGAGCCCAAGACTGACTCTAGTATTCCGTGTGATCATTCTAGCCGAGGTATCAACGAGATACGATTATCTCTTCACCCCGCATCGGGAGAAGTCGTGGCCAGAACTGTTCGAGAAATAATTCAAGAGGGTATGAGTCGGTCACGCTTGTATGGATCTTTCCTCTTGGATGAATGGGTTTACAGCTTGTGCTTCCATCAGGCACTCTTGAGGAACATTCGAATTATCCCATATATCACCATGGCATACTACATTGCATGGGTGCCGTCTTCCCGAGGGTGTGTCCTCCTCTCCGGGGATGCTCTTGACAACAACAATATCATAGCCTCAATATTATTCGCTTGCGACTATGGTTCCAGAGCGTCTCGGCAATAATGATTGTCGAGGTAGTCGCGAATATACCGACAACTTAGGTTCTCTGGCTAGTGGTCGGTCTGGGCCGAAGGTTCTCGGAAGCTCCTGGGACCTCTCCCCATCGTATATCTCGTTCTTGGAGGTCCTGGAGGTTGCTAGGAATGAGCCAGGGCGTGATCTCACAGATACATGCATGAAGGGTTGGAGGAAAATCGACCGATCATACCGCCCCGGGATTTCTGAGAGAGCGTCTTTGACGGAGGAAAACTCAGGTGCAAACTCTGTACAGACTGGGGGAATGAGCAATGGAGGATTGTGTCGCTTGGACATTCATACCTGGATGCAAAGAAAAGCTGCATGGTGAATGGGTAGTTATCTATCGATGACGAAGGTTGAACTGAGCGATCGCGAATGCAGGCAGGCCATAAGCTCGAGAGTTATCGAAAATCACCGAGGCGATAATCGGAATCCAAGGCGGTCTCGGACCTCTGTTCCGGAGGGTGGGGCAGAGCTCGCTTCGGGACGTTCCCTCTCCTCGATATCAGCGACGGAGGATCGAAAATCAGCGGTTTTTCATCGGAGAGAACTCAACTGGTATACTCAAGCGTACCTTCACAACCTAGCTTACGGTTCGCCATTTCCGTAAAGACTTGCAATCGTGTCGCTCGAGAGAATGGCGGGACTCAGATATAGCGAAGCGAGTGAATCGCGTCGTGTGGATATCGAATTTCATCGTGGGCGGCTACTCGAGCAAGCTCTCTGGAAAGTCTGAGCGGGAGCATGATCAGTCCAATCCTAATGAGATGCGATCCGCAGGCGACGAATCACATCGCGGGAGCCGTTGCTACGCGAGAGACGCGGTTTTTATCTCGACCATGCTCTTTCGCACGCCAATTTCTACATTGCTTCAAAGAGATGTTAAGCAACGCTCGGATGAAGCCGAGAGACCTACACCAATCCTTCGATTCCGATACTTCCGCTTCTCCATCCCTTGTCGCAGATCGACAGATAAGCATTGAGGGGCCAATCTTCGAAGAACAAAAACACTGTATCAGGGAAGACACAATCGCCGTGCTCAGAGACTGGCTGTCAGCTGCCACAATTTCGGAGCCACCGCTGATGGGAACGGAAGGGTCAAGCGTCAGCCGACAGAAGGGAACTTAAAAATGAAGCGTCGCTGCACTTAATCCTCGGCGAGGTTCGAATCCGAGTAGATCGGCCAGAATGGATCAGTATCGATCTCGCAGGTTCCCTCGAAGGTGTACGTATACATTGAGGAATCTGCTCGCGTACATATTGTAAAATGGCTGCAACGGTAGCCGGTAGCAGGCATTCTCTCGATGTACATATCGTGATGCGCCGCCGGGTCTTCCCCAAACGAAACCTTCTCAATAACCGGTCGTATCAGCAGGGTTGCCGCGTTGATAGGTCGCTCTCCCGAGAGCGCGGACGAAGATCACGACCGATCGAGAGGGAAGTCTTAGCGTACGAGTCCCCTCGTCAAAGACGGCACGCATCTCTGGGTTCCGGCCGATGATTCCCTCGACACGAGATATTACACCTATGTGGGGTCGGTCATTCCGCGAAAGAAGCCTCTGATGGCCTCTGAGTCCGGGTGTCGTCTTTCGGATGTCGCTGCCCCGATCAACCCTACTCTGGCTCGGGGAACCTCGGTCGGGAACTTCTGGAAGTTGCTGACGCTGTTGGAACCTTCTTTGACCCTCCCGGAGGTCAGTCGACGGACATATGATCTCAGTCAGAAGATGCGACGGCCCCGATCCAATGCTGCAAAGAGCCCCGAAACTCTAATTTTCGCCGCCGGACTCGGAGATTCCTCGCGGAGACCTTGACGAATTGATCTGCTGATGAGGGTCATCAGTGGTCGGGAGCTTAGCTAGAGTGCTTTCCGTCGGGAAGCTACGCAATCCGCCAGATCTTTGCGATTCCCACGCGGGAGGAAGGGGAACTTAAGTTAAGAATGGGAACTCCTCGAGGAACCCGCGTGAAGCTGACTAAGGCAAGCGTCGGCGCGTCGCCTTTTCAGCCTTAATATAATTGTGTTGTGTTAGCTCTGCAACACGGGGAAGGCCTCGTCTTCGTACTTTTTGGAGAGAGGGCCTATCGGCATTCACTTGGAGGCCCCTCTTCCGGGAGAAAGACGTGAGGCGGCTCGAGGCTGACGCCTGATAGCAGACGTCGAACCCACGGAACCTGACCAGGCCTGCAACCCTGGAGAACTTGAGAACACTTGAAGACGCCATCCGCACTCTCTCAGTGGAAACGCCCTGATCGGCGTGTGAAGACGCAGAATGCCCTCAATTATGCGGGGACGACCGAGGCGCCGTGCACGACCCTTAACGGTGAACTTTGGTCCGAGGTCTCTCCATTGACGTGCCCCAGCATACCTACGTCTATCCAATGGAATGGTTCGGTCGTACTCCCTGTGTAGGTATAGAGCTGTCCTGAGCCGATCGTATACCTGAGCGGAGGTGGAACGGTATCCTTCTTCAAGTGCCGCTGACTTCGGTATAAATGCTGTTGCATGACTGATGTGTAGGACAAGAAGTTTACCCCAGCTCCGGAGCGAGGATCGGTGCTCCTCCCAGATACATCCTTGACCTGGAGACTATAATTTCATTCCCGGAAAGCTCCGAAGGAGTCCGGCCCATCGATTTTTTTTTCCGGGCAGTGAATAAAATTGAGAAAAGATCTCGGCTTTCAAAGCGGAGACTTACGCCAGCTCGCGGGATTGTTTGGGTTGTGCGGCTGAATGGACATTCTTCACGGAATGCCCGGACGCGATACAGAAGATAGACACGCATGTTACGCAGGTCTCGGAGTGGGCAGTGATGAATCTTCCAGACACAACGAGAGCAAACAGACTTCCGGAGATGACTCGTTTTCTGACAGCGGCGTCCTCGTGACATCGCCGGAACCTCTGGGAGTCAACTCTGGTAGTCGTCGACTCCCTCAGCTGTGTCGACTGCGCTGAGTCGAAAAGGGAAATACAAAGCGAAATTCTGAGCGCCGCGCGACCCTGAGACATTAATCCCTGTCCCTCGTCTCTCGGTCCGATTGGAGATCGATCACCAGAGTCCTCGCAGGGTCATGAAACTTTAGAGTTTATCTTGTCCTCCCAGATATCGATCCTCATCTTCCAGCGCTTCGTGATGGATCGGAGCGTGTCGCCCAGGACCCAGGAGGTTTTGACGAGTAAAACCCCCGTCGGAGACACACCCATACACCTAGATGGTGATGGAAGAACTTCCGGATCCGACCAACGGAAAATGATTGTCCGGAACGCCTTTGCGGCTGTCGAGGTCCCGAACACCGCCGCCAAATGTCTAGAAATGGGGCTCAAATTACTCCTGGAGCTATCTTGGACGAGCCCAGGATTTATCAGCATCATGATTTCACAATCATCGACGAAATTCCCATTTATTCAACAATCTTTGTACAAGTTCTCGATGGGTCCCGTCTTCCGGATGGTCTGACTCAGGTAACGCTCATATTATCTCGACCCGCGAAATGAGATCTTCCTCAGTGTGTTTATTGTCATGTACTTCGACGTCCACATGTAGAGGTGGCGGAACCACAACAGTTGAGAACGGTGTCTCAACATCGCTTGCTGGGGTCTCGAATTCAGGTCCGAACCCAGACTGTATACGTATTCAGGCTCCCAGAGCATCGTACACAGGGTATCGAACAACAGAAAGTATTTTCTCAGAATAGAAACCGATTCCAATGTATAGATGCAAGGCCGGAAGGACGGGTTCCTCGAAAGAGTCGCCAGTGCATGGAAGATCGAAGTGTGATTCCTATGTCCACTCACTCCGTGTGAATCAAAAGAAACCACTGCGTCGATCTCATGCTCTCCGCAGTATTTCACAATGATGCGCAGGATCTCTTCCGGCTCCCACGAGGCTTTGGGGTCATCTCTGAAGTGCGGTGAGTCGATTAGATGCAAAAACTCCTGAGGCAAGCCGAGCTCATGACACGCTGCCGTGAGCTCCCCCCTCCTCAGCGAACCTTGACCGTCGAAATTCCCGTCGGACAAGCAGATCAAATGAACGATAGAGCCCCTCGACGTCTCCCACGCGATGAATGGGGCGAAAAACATCGATTCGTCATCGGGATGAGCCGTCACCAGCAGTTTCCTCCGGCCAGGAATGGGCTTCACAAAACCCAGATAGGATTGAATCCAAATCCAAACCACGAAGCCGGTCACAATCGCCAGGAGGATCCCACAGATTCCAAGGAAGTCCATCATCGGCGGTCTCGGATCGAAACTTCCCGCTTGAGTTGATGCCTGATTTTTTTACCTGCAATTTGTCAACCGGTGAGGAATCTCGGCTCCTCGGATGCTACAAGTACGGAGCACCTCAGAGGAGTCTTGTGATGGTTTCCCGCCCGTCGCACAATTGACATTCACTGTCGATGAAGGGAAAGGAGCTGACAGAGGGCAGCTCGAAAGCAGAACGATCGAGATCAGACAAAACAAAACTATCGATTGAATGATACCTCTCAGTCAAGTGTATTTCATCTTTCAGCTGTGATCAGCTGATCGTCGTTGGCGGGCTCCGATCAATAACGCCGCCCTGGTGCTCTCCAACCGTCGCTGACGGGACGCATTGGTCGTGCTGCTGGTAAACATGCAATTTTTCCGTGCGCAAGCAGGGCTTCCCGGATTATATGGCAGGAGCGGTGTTTCCAAAGTACGCTCCTGAGAAACGAGCGACGGAAAACTACATGAAGTCATTTGAAACGGATTAACTTGAAGAATCAGGCATTGTATTGACTTGAGAGTGCTTGGTGACGATGATCTCTGCTTGAAAGAGTCGGTATTGGCGGATTTCGTTCCTTGAATCATGACTAGGCGACGAGAAGCACTCGAGCTTCCCGGCAATCCCGATCAAGCTCGACCCTCCGGACCCTGCGTCCAATTGGGGAAAAGGAAGGAAACCTGATCACGAAATCCCTGCCGATTCCCTGAAGCGACCCGTCGCCGGTAGAGTTGGACAGAGATGAGCTTTTCACTGGAGTGTATCTATTGGAAACTCGAATGCACTCACTGGGATGTAGGGGTGGCGATTTTGAGATCACGCGCGCCTCCACGGCATTCCCTCTCTTCTCCGGGCTATGCCACTGGGTCATTGGATAGTAAGTAGGTATATGCTTGACAGCAGTGTAATAAGATCGCGGGGATGAGAGCCGACGAACAAAAATCTCCCTCCGACCCGCACTAAGCGGAGCCGCAGTGGGCGGATCCGAGGAAGACAGAATCCAAGGCAGGAGGGAAATCTTCTCCGGAAGGAGTTGCGGGGGAAGGCAGAACAGAACCACAGAATCCACCACATATCTAACCAATCTCCTTCCCGTCTCAGTCTCTGCATTCTTCAAATACCCCGAGGAGGAGCTGGATTCCCGATGAGAGACAAAGCTCCTGTACCAGTAGCATCTTGGCATGAGACCCGACTCCGTAGACATGGAGGCTCCGTTTCGTTCCGACCGCGCTATTTCGGATCTGACCGGAGCAGACACCACCTCAAATCGTGCCGTGTCTATCATCCACAAGCAACCGTCAACAACAACTGCGGTGATGGTCTCGTCGGTGGAACAGTTCAGCAGTGATAAGAACATGTCAGTAATGAGTGTCTGTCCGTGAAGTTGTTGTTGACAGAGAAGTGCGGAATTTTCATACATTCGCCGCCTCAGAGCGAGTCAGGATGAGCTCGGATTCTGAGTCCGATACCGAACGACAAGTCCTCGCAGAGCGAAGACAAATCGTTGCTAACTACGACAAGGGTTGGGTGAAAGATTCTGATCACATCCTATCCTGGGAAGAACCCGCCGACAATGAAGCTGCTAAAATAGATCGCTATGGCTTCATCCAGTAAGTATCCCCTATCGACGGTGACCATTCAAATTAGGTGTTCAACTCTCGCAGTCGTGCGTGTGGGCGTTCGTTGTGATGCGCCCGAAGTTCGTGTCGTTTCGTTCTCGTGATCGTGAGAAGGAACCCCTCCCTGTCGGAACTTCTACTGTGGAACCCCCTCATTCACTACCATGTATGTCCTCGGGGACATCCAAGGACTTGTCATATCGATTTCGGTTCCGAGCCGCGAGATCGCTTTCATGCCAAGTTAGCAACGATGCTGTGCAGACGGCTGCTCGGTTATGAGAAATGGAATCTCTTGAACTGCTATAATTTCAACAGTTATTCCGACTCCGACCTTGGCCGAATCCACTCCGGAGTTGGCTCGATCAGAGATTGTTGACTAAGCCCGTCAGGTAGTCAGTTCGTGCGAAAACGGTCGAGTCAGCTATAGCCGGAGCGAGGACTGTTTCTGATCTCGTCAAATTTCTCGCAGGCTTCGCGTTTCCCGGGTCCATTCGATACTCACACAGAGACCCCTTTTGAAGTTTCTCATCACCTTTCTTATCGCAAAAACTTCTCGTGTAAACGTCGTAGAGAATCCGTCGGGTATTCAGAAAGTATCTTGAAAAGGTCATTGAGACTCGCTCCCTCCGCAGACGTCAGATGGTACTCTTGTTAGATGAGTCCGTCGACCGCGGAGCTGCCGGTTTTCCGACAGACGTGCTACAAGGGTCCGATATAGAGTTTACAGAACAACAAAGCAGCCGCTCACTCGAACGAACATTGAGTGAGTCGGTTCCCCGGTCTGATTGTCAAGAGAGCGTCCCGATGACTTTCACACGTTTTTTTTTCTCTCCGACGGCACAACCGGCCTTCGCGCTCGCTCCCGACCGGAGCGTGGAAACATTGGCCATGGGATCGGGCGGCGACGATTCGGAATTAACATTGAACAGCATTACAATATTCGCTCTATTCAACGTTCCAGTGAGAAACCATTGCCGCAGAGATTTTCGGATCTGGAGAAGAAGCAAGTCGATAAGGAAGTCGAAAGGGCCAACAAATGGCTGAAAATGACGAAGGCCTGGGGCAAATACATAGCACAGCCGAGCAAAAACGATTCGGTGAGTCTCGAGTAATTTATTGATCCAGTAGAAGTAGTAGAGGTGGGGATCCAGCTCAGTTTCCCTGGTGTTTTTTTCTTGTGTTTTCGTCGAAATCACGAGATACATAAGAAAATCAAAAAATTTCACGCTGCGTCGGATTAGGCGAAGAAGTTCGAGAAGGTAAGCTGTGGTCTAGTGTTCGCCTGTGCTGTTGTGATGGTAATGAGAGAACATCTGTTATTTTTATTAGCTCCGCAAACGAGTCTACAAGGGAATACCGAATTGTATCCGAGGCGATGCTTGGAAACTATTGCTTGGCGTCGAAGAGCTCAAAAAACAGAAGCCAAACACCTATAACGAGATGAAGGCCCTCGCGCGCCTGGAGAGTCCAGACATCCGACAGATAGATCTCGACATCAATCGGACCTATAGAAACCATGAGAACTTCCGTCATCGTTACTCGATCAAGTAAGGCAACTGGGCGATGAGCTTCTAGATAGATTCGCAGCGCTCGAACGAGCCGCTCGTCCGCCTGTCGGTAAGACAGGAGCTCGGCTAGGCTGTTCCCGCGCTCGAACCGCGCCAGAAGCCGTTCTCGACGCTTCCCCCTACCGGGGGATGAATGAGGGCTATGCGGAATGAATGACTCTCGGGGGTCTCCACTCCACCGACGATCAAAACAATTGATTTTTGGATTTCTCGTTCCAGGCAACAGGAGCTGTTCCACGTGCTCATATCGTACTCGATGTACAATCAAGAGATTGGTTATTGCCAAGGAATGAGTCAGATCGCCGCGTTGTTATTGATGTACATGAACGAAGAGGATGCTTTCTGGGCAATATCGCAACTGATGGCCGCCGAAAAATACGCGATGCATGGATTCTTCATCCAAGGGTTCCCGAAACTAAATCGCTTCACGGCGCATCATGATAAAATTTTGACGAAGAAGCTCCCTCGCTTGAAAAAGCATCTCGACAAACACGACATCACGAGTAGTTTATATACCCTGAAGTGGTTTTTCCAGGTCAGTTCCTTCTCTCAGAGCATCGGGTCGCTCCCGTGTGAGGGATCTGTCTAGTTTTTACGATACTCTTTCTAATACTGCGACTCCGATGATAGTTGTGAAGATCTGGTTCCGAAGCAATTCCTGGTTGTCGGCCGAGCTGATCGATTGTGGAGAATACTTATCCTGAAAATTCAATTTATTTCTACAGTGTTTCGTTGATAGAGTCCCATTCACGCTCACCTTACGGCTCTGGGACATTTACCTCCTCGAGGGCGAGATGATTCTCACAGCCATGTCTTACAACCTTCTGAAGTTACACTACAAAAACCTTCTGAAGATGAATATGGACCAATTGGCCGACTTTCTACAATACCGCCTGGAGCAGGACTTCGGCTACAACGACGATCTTGCGATCGATGCTCTAAAAGAGCGAATCCAGGAACTGAAGGCGGCCAAGCTCAGTTTACCTCAGTAAGTTGACGGAATCGCTTCGCCGTGGGATCATAGGTCTCGTTCGAGCGATTCATAGGTATGCTTCATGATTTACCGCCCGATCTGATGGTCCTCGCTGGGCGGCCGCAACTCACCGAGCGAGTCGTCTGACGGTACCTCGGTGATCCGTCCACAGATGCAGCGAGGAAGATCGCGAGCTGGAGCGCCCGACTCGACCTTTCGGAGTTGTGGAACTATCCACTCCGAGACAAAGACGAACAAAACCGAAAACTACACGAAAGAGCAACTCAGTCAGAGCTCTCAACTCTCATCTCAACGATTCTGAGAGCATCCTTAACGGAAGCATTGAGACTATCTCCACGAAGTCCGAACTAGGTGAGTAATTCTGTGGCGAATCGAGCTCCCATAGATAATAAATCCTTGTCGGTCACCATCCGTGGCCAGACAGATGCGCTGTTCGGAATCCGTCACCGCTAGGAGGACCTCAGGGGGGACTGAGGAGCGGAGCTGACTGAGATGTTTAAAATCGTACCATTATCCGAAGGTGGACGTTTCACTCCGAAAGAGCTCCGCAAGTCTCCGAATTTAGAGAGCGAAAGCTCGGATGCTTCTTCGGTCATCGAAGCTCTATCGCTCAGAATGAACTCTTCGATGGCGTTAGACACATCGATGACCGTCACTCAGGATGACAGCAATCGAACTCTCAACAACGAAGCCGCGGGTTTGTTAAAAGTAAGCCTCACTTGGTATATCTACGGACTAAAGCAATCGTACTCAATGCTATGCCGACGCCTGAATGACCGTAGGGGGTACGACAAATCGATCGTCTGAAATTGCAGCCGCGGTCACCCTCGATCTACGACAACGTCTCGTTGCCGGGTGATGAGAATTCAGCCGAGGCGCCGAAAGTTCTCGGGGAGGATTCGACGACACAGACCGATCCTCTGCCGTCGAGATCACAAGTCGAAGCTGTTCGGATATTCGTTCCATATGCTGAATCCAACGGGGAATCGCAAAGTCACAAAGATGTGGCAACGTCGCCGAACTCACCACACGGGGGTCCCGACCCGAATCGGATCACAATCAAGGTTCACGCCATGACTACCGTCGAGACATTGTGAGGAGTCTCTCAAAATTCTCACAGCGATGGAGGCAAGACTGAATACTACGACGTTCGTCCTTTTTCGGATGAAGGAAAAACGGGGAATCCCCCACTTAGGTTACCGTTGACAGCGCCACGCCACTAGCTCGGAGAACTTGGTGATTGACGGTCTAATAAGCGTAGTTTATGTACACTCATGCCATCGTAGTATCGTCTTTTCCGCCTCGATCAATCATATCATTCGCCTAGCCGCTAGAAAGTGGAAGTGATCGCAACATCGACAGCGGTGTGCTTCGTGGGCGTGACTCCCATGACGCCCACTCCGCGTCGTTGGAAGATACGGAGGACGTTACATCGCGAGTTCTCACGAAACATTCTCAACGAGTGGCAAAACTTAAGTGAACCTCTAGTCTACACTGAAAGTCGTCTACGATCGAAATGCGTAATCAGTTCTGAGCAATAATATTCTCCCCATAGGTTTTTTCCCGATGTACATAGGAAGTTTTTGATCGAGCACCCAGTTTTTCCGCTTCCCATTACGCGTCGCCTAGTGCAAAACCGGAAGATCTAAACTCGTGCTTCAGGCTCTACCTGACTAATTAGACGTTACGCAGGTTGTTACAAACATTCCCTAGTACTTACGATATAGATCCTGGAGCTTCGCAGATGCTGGAGAGGTCGGTTGTTTCAGCCTTCGGCTCTTGTTCGATGACAGGCGAGGGGCAGCTGCTGCTGACGCTGGAAGCTCCACTCCGTTGGTCACGAAAAACCACAATGAACAGAAAGAGTTACAACGAGTAAAATTAGGACAACAGCTCGAGAATGTCGTTTCTCGCAATGACTACCGAAAGGTAGTTTTCACGCAAACTGAATGCCAAACTGGATGGTCGACGCATGCAGCCGCACGAAGTCGCAATAATAGAAGCAGCCCCTACCGATATTATCAAGAGTAAGTTGCTTGTCGTTTACACTGTGTAAAACGAGCTATTAGATGTACCCTATTGTGAATAAAAGCCCATGAATATTATTACATTATTCGTGTTGAGTCTCTTGCGTTCTTCACGGGGCACGATCCGAGCTCGAGCGGGGCTCATAGGGGGAAAGAATTCGCCAGGCATCCGACGGTGAAGTCAGTCGTGAATCGATCAGGATTTTTCGGTAGATCGTATTCGAGCTCAACACTCCGAGAGCCGTTTCAATGCCTAAAGGGAGTAGGTAGTTCCACCCCGCTCTTGGTTGCCTCTAATCACGAGCGAGGAGCTACCCGTACACCTCCGAAATACCCGTCCGGTGGTAGAATCCGACAAGTTTCACTCGCGGTGGATCTTCAGGGGAAGAAGCGACGTCCGAGCCTACGGTGTCGCCGAGGAAGATCCAACTCCTGTTCCCGAGGAAGAAGATCTCGCCAACTTACCTTCCAACATGGTCTACGCAAGTCCGCGCATACCGCGCATATCACTCTCAAGGTTTTCCCACGTAACGGGGAACACGAAAGCTATGCGTAGGCTGACGTGAAAATTGGGCACGTTTTCCGGACCTCAGGTCTGGGAGCATCAGATCGCTCACTCAGAGGCGCGACATCGCTCTGCCTTTCCGTGCATGTCCACGGAGACGGATGCTAGCTAAGGCTGATTCAGTAAGAGGGTCAAGCCATCCCTAGGTTTCCCTTCTCGACTCGATCGGAGGAGTAGACCCCGTCGTCCAGGAGCTCGTAGCCGTCAGCTCCGCCCAATTTCGAACTGGTCGATCCTCTCGATGGAACCCCCGTAATCTTCCTCGGACTTCGTTCACCATTCATAATAGGGAATATGGATCCGTCCCCTGATAGTTTCGTGGGGACTGTTTTCCAGCGATTTGAATCGCGCGGTTTGGTCACGTCGTAGCAACGCGGCTCTCCACTTGCCTCTCTCTCCCACAATCGTCTGCGATCGCCATGTTTCTGCTGCCAAACTACTCGTGATCGCCGTAGCTCCACCGTTGTTGATTTTAGCGCCGCCGACGACGTCGTTGACAACAGACGTGAGAGAACAGAAAGCGCATCGAACGCGAAGGCGCACAGGTGCGGCTCTGCGCGACCGGCTCACACGTTCATCCACGCGCTCTCATCATGGATTACCGGTGTGCCCTCGAGTACATGATCGTGGGCTTGGGCTACATTTGGTGTTCAACATTATCACACCTGCGTGGAATCCCGCTATGGGGCATGCCAGCCTCGTACGTTTTGATCCTCCTCGGACTTTACCACCAACAGAGGAAAACGCCAGCCGAGCACCGAACTCGACCCGGAGCGGATCGCGGTCTGTGGATGATAACTTGCTTCCCGTTTGCCATCTATGCGAGTGGCAGTCAAGTATACCACGGAGATAACTTCCGTCTCGTAGAAATCGTTACCGGTCACACGTTGTGTCTATCTCTCACGACGGCTTGTTACGCTCCGTCTTCAATTCGCGTAATTATTTCGGCTGCCGTGACGACGCTCCTGCTGACCGCATACCTGACATCGTACTCCGTTATCAATTCATTTCTAGCCTCGATTGTCTGCTCCACGGTATTCTGTTACTTGCGCGACAAGCTCAAGATCCACGCAGCCACATCGTTCACCGACGGAGAGCTGATCATATTGGTTCAGGCGATATCGGTTTTTTGTACGTCGTCGAGCATCTGTTTCCTGTCGACAATCCAAGTCTCGAAAATAGCCTCGTTCCTCCAAGCAGGACTCTTTTCCCTGTGCATCCTCATCTTCATCCTTTACCGCATCTCCTCGACGAGATCGAGCGTGGTGACGTTCATCATCACAGTGACCGCCGTCTGCGGCTTTCTTCTCTATCCGCTCCTGTACTGGTCACTGCGGGGGGAACCGATCCATTTCATCACTAGTTTCCTCGCGGCCTCGGGTCGTAGGATCGCTCTGATTGGTTTCTGGTTTGGTCTGTGCGTGGTGGCTGTCATATTCGCGATGTACTCGAACAGATTCACCTCGAAGAAAACCTCGCGAATCGCCATAAGAAAAGTGAGTGTTGCACTAGCCCTGATAGGGGGATTCCTGGATCGATATACCCTCTAAGAGCGCCAAGATAGCCTTCATCTAATCCTATCTCTCTCGAACATGCCCCGTCCTTGTAGTCGCTCTTCGGCTCACATTCGAGCATCTTTTAATTTCACAGGTGTTCCACTTGTTCATTATCGCGGTGTTTACAACGGGCGCTTGCTTCGATCCCGATCTGACTTATCTGGCATCGGGATCGATGCTCGGCGTTATGGTCGTCGTGGAAATAATCCGAGTTCTACAAATCGATCCGTTGGGTTCTTCGATCCAGAAGATTTTCGATGCGTTCCTCGACGAAAAAGACCAAGGACCACTTGTTGTATCTCACATATACCTCTTACTGGGATGTTCCCTGCCGTTCCTTCTCTATCCCGGCGAAGACTACTCGAGGGATGGGGTCACGCTCACCCTTCTGACAGGAGTCACCATCCTCGGCGTTGGCGACACGGTCGCTGCTGTATTCGGAGCTCGATACGGTCGGACACGTTGGCCGAATTCGAAGAAGACGCTAGAGGGGACCTTGGCGGCGATCGTCGCGCAATTAGCCTTCTGCATGTTTTTCGCGCCGGTGACCGCGGATATCGTGTTCTTCGCTAAGCTCTCTGTAATACTCGTTCTATCCTCGTGCTTGGAGGCTACAACGGAACAGAATGACAATCTTGCCGTTCCTCTATTCGCCCTGCCGCTATTCATCGCCCTTCTGTAGAAGCCTGACTCAATTCTGAGCGTGCTTGCCCGGTCGCTCCGGGACATCGAAATACTCGGCATGGGCTCGCGGGACCGTCCCTCATGATCCCGCGAATCCTAGCAGCGGCGTGAGAAGAATTTCTACGAGAATATTTGACACCAGAAGGAACTTCTGAATTCTAGTCAAATGCGCCTAAAGATAGTCAGTCCGATGATTCAACGAATTCCCAACAGGAGCACGGCCACCCACAAATATGCGCCGAGAACAAAAGCTGTCTTCATCATGAAATCTCTCGGTCTTGTAACGAGCCGAGTATTTTCATGGGGGAGCTCATCCGTGCCGATGAGAGAACTGTTCCGCGCACACACGCAAAAGAAACAGTAGAAGTTAAAGTTCCCAGCTGCTCATGTGCTTGCGATCACAAGATTTTGTATGTATATATCATATTATATATAATAATATGTGTCTCGAGCTCGAGATAGTAGGATTTTCAAGCTGATGTATACCTGGCAAGGTGATAGCTGTAGATGATTCGATATAGGAGGAATGAATTCGGTCTTGGCGACGCGACTGAAATTAACTCGCGGATCCATATGTCGCCTCGGAGCGTGGGGACCTCCAGCCACACGAGGGAGACAGTTGCCAATAAAGAAGTGGCTTGATTGTTGCAAGTTCGAAATTATTCAATCAAAGCTATCCTAATCTACATTTAATTCCGCCGATGGATTTCTCCTCGCGGCATGGACTCGGATTGTGAAGCCTGGGAGCCTCAGCCCGGGAGGCGCGAACCTTCTGGTATCAGTGCGGCGGGGGGTGTTTCACTGAGTTTCGGGAGCGAAACCTGTAAATATTTCAGCTCGATTCGACTGAATCTTAGATGGATCGTTCAGCCTTGATTCCTCCCTCGCAATTATGGGTGGGCACGCCGGAAGCGGCACGCTCCACGAAGGAGATATCAGGAGGACGCATTGAGGACATTGTTTCAGGGGCCTAATGGTTTTTTTTATATTCTGAAAGCGTTCTCTCGGACTCCACCGAAGACGTCCGAGTTTCATCAGGGATCCAGGTCAGTGCTCTCCATTCGAGCCACGCAATAAATAGAGGGAAGTATTCACAGATACCTCCATAGATGCTGATATACTATAGGCTCCGAGCAGCGAGGGACATTATCCTCTATCGGAAGGCTTAGTTTCCCCATTACTAGTGCTCATGGTGTATCATGGTGCTTCGAGTTGCTTAGAGAAGTTTTCTCGGAGGATCACAGTTTTCCCATGTAGGAGCTCTCAAGAATGAGAGTTGAGATGCACACCTTTCTCCGCATCCCTCCGATTCCAGGCGAGGTAGTGCTGATATAAGCTCACAATGAAAAGTCGAAAAAGAGATCAGGAACATTCGGTAGTGAAGAGGGATGATGAGAATCAGTGGGGAGACGGGACAGGACCCTTCGGTCGCATCAGACGCACCCCTAATTGTTTCAATTCGTCACCTCCGCTCGAGACAGGCTCGATCTAAAGAATCTAGGAGGCGAGAGAGATTCGAGTACATTCACACACTAGAAGTTGCAAAGTCTTGAATTGCAGAGAGAGCGACAAGCTGGCGACCAACCCATCGATCGATTCAGTCACCTGCTCTGCGACACTTCATTGCTCCAGCTGAGCGTATGGTGAATCCTCCATCCTATTGATGAACACTTCCTCGAGCTCTGGATGCCGCTTCGCCATGGAGGGGGGGGGGGAAACGCATCCAAAGCTCGCTGATTACGTATACCTAATCGGTAGCGTTCCTTGGGATCGCCTCTACGACCGACAATCGAGACCGAGCTCCTCCGCGACATTCCGAATTGTCTAGTATGGCTCCGCGCTGTAGCATTCGCAGCCCGACGGGAGGTTGAAAGCTCTCAGTGAAGGACACGCGTCCGGATTGAGTGAATCTAATGCGATGAGCATTTGCGGAGCGTACTTCTGCACGCATTTCGTCTTCACACTGCATCCTCCCAATCGCTGACACGGTCTGCCTTCGTTTCTGAAAGGATACGGTACGCAATTCAGATCGGCGAGAATAAAATCAACTCCAAAGCATAGCAGCTGCCCCGATGAGTAATCGATCCTTCGCGAGGAAAACTTCTCCGCACCGCAAAACAATTCGGACGTTCTCCGCGTCCGAGGTACTGCTGCATTCCTGCCGAATCGGGTTAACGCCATGCAAATGTCTCCCATCATTGAATCGCATTCCTATGCCAGTCAATGAGGTCATTTAGAATTTGCAGCTGATGTGGAAGAGCGAAATCTCAACGAGCTCCCCTTCGATGAGGAAATGATTTTCTGTGGAGACGAGCTGGTCGTGCGGCAGAGCAGCCAAGCGAATCATCAACGAATAAATGCTTCGGCAAACTATTGAAAAGTTCGCGTCTGGACTCTTGATTGCGAGTCTATCGATAATAATCCAAGACTGCGAGGAAGCGACAGTGGAACATCGTCGGAGACCGAGCGACGTTGGATCCAGGGGGCGTGCTCACGTTCCGGGAGATTCGGGGAAGCCTTTGTTGCGACTCGCTCGGAGAAAGTGTCTTTGCCATGGTGGAGAACAAACGAACCATCAGTCGCGCACGTCATCCCGCCAAAAACTTTTCTGCTTTCTTCGTGGCTTTCCGTGGAGTTTGGTTGACGCGGACGGCCGCGGCGGGAGTTGAAGCGTTTTGTGCCACTTTCGCCATTCTCGAAAATCATTCCTCGATCGACCTCAATAATTCGAGGAGAACCATCCCATGGGATCAGTGCCTCGAGAATTCCATGCTCGATTTTCGAGTTCGTCTGGGCATCAATTACGTCTTACCTGCACACGTTGAGATGGGCTTTTTGTGACCACTTGCTCGACTGCACAATGATAGCCCATTGACCGTGGATATCTCTTGCGACAGCGAGCCTTTTCAGCTTCCGATCCGATTCGCAGAGACTTCGATCCGAGCTCTGTATCAGACTCTGCGGTATCTTCACGTACATTGCGTTCACGATGGCGGTGCATTCAGCCGGAAAATGTTCGATTTCGACCCTGGATTGGAGGAAAAGTAAATCGGTCACTCGACACGCTCCCCGTCGGACTTCCCGAATCGACTATTCGGATACTTTTGTATCCTGCTCTCTACGGACGCGCCGTGTCGTAACGCGTCTCACGCCGCAATCGATATTTTGTAGATTCGCAACGAGAGAAAGAACCGCTCCATGAATGCAAATCTAGGTTTCAAAGAAACTCCATCAGCCGGCGGGACGTTGTTGCAGCGGCAGTGGCGCGTCGGCGGGGGAAGCGACGCTGCCGGCTCACACGCCGAATGGTGGCTGACAACAGACTGGCGGGGTTTTTCTCATTAAACGGTGTCTTCCTTCCGCATTTACCTTCCATTCCAAGAGCCATCAACATCAGCACACATCGGCATCTCCTCCACTGCCGCTGCTCGGACCACCGCCGGCGCCGCCGCCACCGCCACCAACACCACCCTCACGACGCACGCATTTTCCGTCCATGCCGCTATGTTTCAGGGGTGTTTTCCGAACAAACGGCGACGATGAGGAACGAACTGATAGCATTCAGCCACCGCTCGCTCACTCGGTCAATCAGTCAGTCAGGACGAACTGCCTGCCATTCAGTCAGTCATTGGCCTCAAACGAAAATGTTTCACGTGCGCAGGCGTGATCGGATTGATGACCGAGTTCGGAGCTCGATGGAAATGATTGAATCGTTCGCCAACGTCGACTAATAAAAGCATTTTGATGGCAATCATGTCGATAAAGTTTCACGAACAAGCCACGTAATCGCTTCGCCACAGAGCACGCGAATCACGAACTCGCTGCGGCGAGTGAATAAATGAATGTTTTAATGCACGCCGGAAAGATCAATGAACGGAATCTGTATCTTAGGTTCTTGAAATTTACACAGCGTCCAGAAAGATTTCTGTCATTTGCGAACGTCGAAAAGTCTGATCGGAGAACCATGCAACTAAGAGGGATAGACGTGGACTCGATAGGCGAGCTGCAAGAAGCCGAAGCTATCAATCAAATTCTCTGCGAACGTTAAATGAATGAGCATGCAATTATCGCGACACGCGCGTCGAGAATATTGGCGGAATCGCTCGGCCGTCTTCTGGGACGGATTCAGAGGCTCTCTTGCGCACAAACCAATCCCGAAAAAGACAATTGATTTATACTCACTTTGGATACGTCTCATCGTCCATAATGCAAAAGTCTTGTTTTTTTAGTTGGCAATCTTCAACGAGAGCGGTCGCTTTTTTGATCAGATTATACGTAGCAGCTTCGGGGACAACAGCGTCGGACGCCGTGATGCCTAGATTAGAATACTGTTTCAGTTAATATTCGATCCGGAGAGCGGAAGCCGCGCCAACGAGAGAAAAACTTTTCAAGACTAGTCCTTGAAACTAAGTAGATTAATGATATCATCAATAACGGAGTGCGAGACATGAAGTTGTTAGGCGGAAACCCGAATCGGTGATAATGGATAAGTCAGCATGCCTCGTAGACGGGGGAAGAAGAAAAGGGACAAATATTTGACGCCAGTGTCAGCGATATGTCAGTGTGAAGTAGAGTGCAATCCTTCAAGACAGTCATGACTCTGAAGAAAATTTATCTCAACAACACTCGAATTTATTTCAAATTCATATGGTGCCACGGGATAGCTCATTCGTTATTCAGAAGGAAAATTAAGGTGGAAGGGATTCAAGACACATTGCGATAGTTTCCTCTGCGAGTGAAAGTCGTGATAAATAGAAAACTTAAAATTAGCATTTGGTTCTGCGTTTCCTGCCGCGTGTGCTACTGACGCCTGAGTCAATCGTTCGACATTAAAAGTGAGTGAAATAAATTATTCAACGCTTCTTTGCGGTATAAAAGTGGAATCTCATTTTCACGAACTTATGTATGTATATACTTATATAAACTTATATATATTATTCTATACTGTATTTCAAGGGATCACTGGCACCGATCGGTATCGCGACAATGGGTCGAGACCTCTCGATTAGTTTGAGCCACGACAGCAGCAAAGGGAGCCTGCTCCACTGCATAGTTCCACATGGGACTTGTTCTGCTCTTCCTCGGAATTATCTTCTAGTTCAGCTACTACCTCTTTTTCTCTCTCCACTCCGCCTTTGCCTCCTCTAGGACTTCCACTCAAGACATCTCACCACTGACAGTCGGACTTGTCTAGTCGACACTCAACAATCATGCTTTCGACGGTCTCGTTATTCACCTCATTAGCCTCTATTTGACGACGGCATGAAGAACGTACCAGTGTCTCGTGAACGGCCGCCGATGGCGGCTGAGTTGGCTGTGATGGGTTCGTCGTCAATCATGAATCCGTTTGCGTATGTCCGATGAGATAGGCCATGCTTCTCTGTTGATAGGGGTGAAGTGATAATGTTGCTGCCGCCCCCAGCGCTTCCCACTCCTCGGCTACCTCCTTTTGCGAAGCCAGAGCTCGATGAAGAAGTCAACGACGACGACGGCGAAGAAGAAATGGGAACGAAGCCGCCGTACTCATACTTCGGGTTGCGGACGTTCAATGGCAACGAGAACGGGCGGGATAAAGGGTTGTCGCCGCTGTCAAGCTGAAGTAATCTTCCCGTTTAGTTCTTATCGGTCGGAATGGCAATAATCCTCTTTTCAAGAAGTTTCTCTCCTCACGATCCTTCTTTCGTCTATCCAGAGATTCGGCCATCAAGACCCCGAGCCGCTTGATCTAAAACACTCTACTCACGGAATCGCTAAAGCTCCTAGCGCTCACCACCGGTTCTTCTCGTCGGTTCGGTTTTCGCAAATTCTGAGAAGCCGATGACGAAGAAGCTGAAGACGAAGGAGGGGAAGAGGCACCAATAGCAGAAGGAGACGTCGTTTGGGGCTTAACGGGAAGTTGGCCCTCCCGCATCGGGCGGCCGGTGATGATTCCATCGGAGGCAGACGATGAGGAAGACGCCGGTGCCGGGCCGAAGTTAATGATACTGCTCACAGCTTCACAGCGCAATTTCAAGTTAGCGAAAACTCAAATTTAAATGAATTATGCGCCAACCGGTCAGAAGAATGTTACGGCAATAACACCGAGTAATACGTGAGCTTTTCCTCGTTTGATGCAATTCAGGCGCTACGTTTCCCGTTTTCAATCAAGATAAGCGATCCCGCCACCAAAAAGAAGACCCACGCAGACTCCACCATCGTGAGAACGATGTTCTTGGTGGCGGTGGGAAAAAACAGATGGAAAAGGAGTAGGGGGAAAACTTAGGCTCTGCTTACGTTTGATATGTGTATTTTGTTGCTGAAGTCCTTCGATCATCGGCGGTACGGTCACGATTTGTGGAGCAGGTCCAGAGAACGTTGGTTGCGGAGTTTCTTTCTGCTCATTTTTCCCCGAGCTAGCGCTGAACGGTAACACTAAACCACTGCGACGTTGGAACTGTGCGGAGTTTTTGTTGAAAGTCGGGATGGGGAAAGGCAACTGACTCGGAGGTCGCTTCAAGATGGCCTGAGCTCGGGACGCCAATGCGTGCAAGTTCAATCTGTCCAGTCAAAGGATTTTCTTAAGAGGCTGGGTCCTTCCTCTCGGCTTGGTAGAATTGAGGTGCGCTAGCGTGGGCGGGAAAACCGAGAGACCTAATGAGAAAGAAACTTCACCGCAATATATTATATCTCACCGATTTGCTAGTCCTGGATGGCTTGAGATGAGGGACGACGAGGAATGAAGGTTCGCGAGCGATGCTGGACTCGGCAAGTTATGTGCGTGTATACCATGTCTAGCCAAGGCATCTTTTATGTGCTGGGGAGCTCGATGATAGAGTTCCAAAATCTGGTCACGTGTCGGGAGTGCAGTAGCCAGGCACAAGAACAATCCCAACGACAGAACAACACTGATTCCGGCGTGCATCTGGAAGAAAATCAACCGCAAAGTCGTAAACGAAGAATGATTACCGCATCAATTATCGTAAGCGTCATCAGCGGTCACAGCCCACACGAGGGACGTGAAAAGGCTGCATTTCCTGAGATAAATCGCTTCATCAACTCGTAGCGAAGAGCGAGCGTTTATTGGAAAGCGCTCCGAGATTGATCGTGATGTTCATAGAGCGCCGCAGAGGTCTGTGTGCTCGTGTGATTAATCACGTTCTGAGTTGATCATCGATGAGTGCTTAGGCGCTCGAAACCGCCATAGGAAAGCATTATCCAGGTACCACGAGGATATTTGCGAAATCTTCCTCGCTCTGGCGAGAAAACCCTACCTAGCCACAGTTTTCAAGAAAGTCTCCCACTCCGAAAACGGGAAGCAGATGCGTTCGGGGCGTTTTTCCGGCAACAGTAACGGGAAACAAAACGACCACGACAACGGCTGTGGAGAAGACGATGACGACGCACGCCAACATCATCCGCAAACAAAGAGTATCGCTTGCGGTCTACACGCAGCCGAATGAGCTAAACACAGAAATTCGCATCATGGGCCGAACAATTGTTTCGATGCTTCTCACTCAGTGAAAATCGCTCAGGCCTCCCCTGAGCCAGTTCCGCCGCTTCCCACATTGTTTCTACGAGCTGAGCATTTCGACAAGATTCGATGGAATGGAAGTAACGTCTGCCGAAGATCAGTCATCGAGTCTCAGTCCAAATCGAATCGGGTTAGCGACGATATCCGCATGCATGCTTGCAGCCATGCAGTACGTATCGAAAATTCGAATGAGAACAGGGATCATCTTCATTGGGATATCTCAAGATGTTTTCAAAAAAGAGTTCACAGCGCGGGTCACCTGTTATCTATTCTCCCAACGATGTCAACTGAACGACCTACATACGTTATTTATTTATTTAGAAGCGAACAAGCGGGCGGACGGACGAGCGAGCGAGCGAACCAGCGCGGGGACAGAATTCTCAAAAACCAGTGCGCTAACAGACGACCGAAAATTTTTTCTGGTGACCAAACTGCATGATGTATTCCGGTTTCTTCTCGAAGAAAGACCCCGTTTTCGCCACGCAGCAGAATACCAGTCATCGATATGAAATGCGTAAAGATCGAGTATCGAGATGGGGAATCGGTTGCACTTATCGTCCGAGATTACTAGAGGAGCAGTTCTCCGATAGCTCGTGATCTATGCGATAGGGAACTTGGATCCTGAGCTCCTCAATCTGCCCGGGAGGATCTTCCACTCGAATAGACATCCTGAGAATTTCGAAATTCTCCTACCCGTTCTGTCGAGTTTCGACCATTCACTTTTAATTGAGGCAACGCACTATCTCGAACGGAGTGATACGATTCCGGAAAACAAAAGTTCTTAGAAGCACCGAATCATTTAATCGGTTCCGTTACACCATTTTCTCGGAAGCTGGCAGGATTTGAGAGAACTCAGATCCCGTTGCTGAGGAAGCACAAAGGTCGACAGATAGAATCTCTCGGTAAATTCTCACCTTAGGGATGGCTGTCGTGGAACGTGCCTTGAAGATTTTGGGAAGGAAACAGGGACCAAGAGAAAAGAACCGATTGTCGAAATGAAGCTGTGGTTTACGCTCACAGCTTCAAATGTTCGGAAATCCCTCGCGAAGGCGAGGAGGTTGAAGACGAGGAGCCGAGGCTTGAAGCCGCTTCCCAGCTGGCGAAAATTCGCGGGTGGCGACGATGGCGTCGACGGCGCGGCGTCCAGGGGACGACTCTTCATATGTGCATTTACAACCAAGCCGCGATTCTTTCTTCTCCCTAGTGAGAAGAACTCGAGCGCAAGGGTTTCGCATGCAAGTGTCGAACCCACTGCGCAGCCCCGGTGTTCCACACGGGTGTCCCATCCCAAAAAGATTAATTCTCGATCGAGTGACCGAACACTCTGTCATGTCATGAGTCATGATCGCCGGCGGAATCAGAGCTTGGACGGCAAACTTAAAACACTATGACAGAATTTTGTGTCGTAAGGGAAATCTTCCTCTGACTGATGATCAGAGGCTTGGTCACGGAAACATCAAGTTGCGAGGAAGCACACGCGGAAGCGTGTAGATGTTCCTCTGCGACAGCAGGCAGCATTATCCTTCTCGCGCAGAGGATGGAGCTCGTCGACGAAGCTGAAGTGTTGCATGCTTTAAGTATTCTCGCCAAAATGGGATATCTCAGGATATTCCACCCGAGGAATTGGACGCGGTGGAGGCCTCAATTCTGTCGAGGAGAGAATGTCACTGACGAACACTTATTCGTCCGCAGGTTGTGATCTCTGAGCACTGACAATTCTGCGCCTCTCAGAGGACCGCGTTCACGGGGTGACCATCCGATGACCATCATTGCGTACGGAATTGTGTTGTCGGAAGGAATACCCATCTCGCGCTGCATGCAGTCTCCCGAGGGAAAAAAGCTGGGAAAAGGGGAGAAAAGCTCATGAATTCAGGTGATGTTCAAGAATTCAGTCGGGTCAGCTGTAAGAGCATGCAGTCTCCCGAGAAGAACAGCTGGGAAAAGGGGAGAAAAGCTCATGAATTCAGGTGATGTTCAGAAATTCAGTCGGGTCAGCTGTAAGAGCGGATTCGAATGGGTCAGCTGTTTTTTCGATCGAACATTGCATGTACATATCGCGTGTTCCCACGGCGGTCATTGGAATCGGGGAACCCTCAATCGACGGGGAAAGATGCATATAATTCAAGTCACTTCGTTTATCGAATGTATCTTATTTATCGACGGCCCCACATTCGCACCGAAAAGAGCAAATAGAAGCTCATTGTGAATATTCTATCACAAGGCGAAGATAGTCAATGTTCGGTGAGGTAAACTGTTACAGGACGAGTCTTTTCCCCGAACGACGACGGACGTAATCGAGCAAGCAGAGCCATAAAATGAAGATACCTTCCGGCATATTATACCGCTGATTTTTATGTACTGCGTGATACCGATCCACTACCGGTGCGATAAGTCAGCTCTCGTTGAATCAGCATTAATCCAGTTAGTGGCGAATGCTCAGACTTCTCAGAAGCAACATCCATAGCTGTTTCGAATCACCGGAACGAAGCGTAACGCCGGAGGAACGAACATCAAAATATGAAAATTGATGACGCTAAGCTTTTCTTAAAAGCCCTGTTGCGAGTTCCGACGAATTCTGGAACGATGCTCTTCCGATTTCAGACGAAGCAGAAAAGAATGAGTGCTTGACGGGAAGCGGATGTGGGTGCTCAGTCGTTCCATGAAATGGGAGAACGTCACTTTCTCGCTCGTCATGTATCCAAATCGGTCGCTCGTGCAGGAGCTGGCCACATCGATGAGAATGAGGTTGCAATCCGAAAGGACGGCAGACCGTTTGCCCAGGCACGGGGCTAAGGAGTTCGCGTGAGAGGCTTTACTCCCACGCGCAGCGCACGGATTCCCCGAATCAGCGCTGTCACGATTGTAGATTATCTCCATTGAGGGCAGATGCAGACTCCTCCGCTATCGAAGATGTTTCGCGGAACGAGATCGCGTCATTCTTGAGACTCATCTGGGAGACTCGGATCCACTCGGAAATGGAGTCGCTCGGGCTACGTTTCCAAAATCATTTTCCGACAGGCGAAACGAATGAAGAGACTGGATTCGGAAGCCGTTAGATTTGCTGGCCTGTCTCCTTCACCATTGATCGATCACATGTCTCGTCGCCTTGATTTATTTTCCAATCCTAGCAGTTCCTGGATACTAGCAGGGTGCAAGTGGATCCACGAGGATCAGTCGGCGTACGAATGATTAGCAGCGCGCCGCTTGCAGGGCTCTCGAGGGGGTTTGCGGTTCGCCGTGGAAAGCAGCGCGGAGGCGACTTCCATGCCGAGATTCACGAGTGAGCCGCCGCAACGTTGGAGTTTCTTCAATGTGCGCGAGGACAGCTGCAGCCTCAAGTTCGCCCGTCTTGGCTCCGGTCTTTTCCAGGACATCCTTATTTGATCGATATCGCTGGGGCGGGTGGATAGGCATCCGCAACCCGAACAGCTGTTGCGACGATGAGATACGGAAATTGGTAAGAGAGCCATCGGAAAAGTCGCGTTTCGGGGAACGGGACGAGATGCGATGAGAAGTAATTCACGCACTCCATGAAATTTCAATGGGGGCTCATTGATACATCGTCATCGCGGAGAGCGGCTGGAGCGTCGACTCCGCCGAGGCAGAAGTCGGGGGCGCTACGGGCACGAGTTGTTGTCAGAGAAGGTAAGGACACGACAATCCTGATCCCCAGGACGTGCGAGAAAATAATTTCAGTTTGCGTGAGCTCGACGAGAATCTGAGAGCTGCACCGCTCCATCGACCGTCCGCTTCTTCCAACTCACGCGGAGATCGGAACGCTTCCTACAGCTCACGACAATCGGGCCAGTTGCGGGGGTCGACGCAGTCGACTTGTTTCTCGGAATCCAAATCCACGCTGTCCGGACTTTCAAGATCTAGCTTCTCCGAGGAACACATTGATCAGCTTGAATCGCCGACGTCGATTCCACCTCCCTATTGCGGAGTATGCGGATTCCTTCCTCTGGATGACGACTCGAATTCGCTATCGGTGAACTTCGAGCTTCCCGTTCACCCGGATATTTTTCAGCGGACATTGAAGCCGAACGAAAACCTTTCCGTCAGTCATCCGCGGATGAGAAGGCCGAATTCACCGTCAGCTCTGCGAAATTCCCTCGAGGGCGCCCTCATCGGAAGGAATTACGAAAATTATCCACTGGCCCGTCCAGCTCTCCTCACAATTCTCGAAACAAGAGAACTGGGTGATTCTAGAAGACGACAAGCTTGAATAAGAGGTACACGGCACGGAGGCTGGTACTCCGATGATTCGTGTGCGTCGGCTCAGTTGAAACCAAGAGTTCAACATCGGGCCCTCCGGAGTCGGACATTTCCCGGTCCGGTACAAAAGCTCGGAGAAACCGACAAGGACAGTCCGGGCGAATGAGAATTTTATTTAGTCTTCGTGCTCCTCAACGATCAATGGCGCGTTCTGAAACATTCACAGTAAAGGCTGAGCCGACGTGCTGTTCGCCTCGGAGTGGCCCATCGTTGATCAGAATCCTCCGAAGATCGATAGTACATCCTAGAGTCCCGTAATCTGGAAGACTCTTCTTAAACACTCGGGTTTCGGCACCGGCGCGGCGTCAGGCCTAACATGGTCCAGAAATCTATCCTGGGATCCATCCGAGGAAAATGCAGGCCGTAGGGTTCTCGATGGAATACAATGCTGTACGTCAGGAGTCGGCGGCTGCCAGATTCGACTCCGCAACGATTTTGCACGAGGCAAGGTCGATGCAAACAATGAGGATATGGATGTAATATGCACACCGGCCCGTCAACTTGGATCGCCGCCGGTCTCTGCCTCCATGCTGGGTGGTGTCTATCCAGAGATCCGCGATCACATCAAAGCGTATAGCGTTGACAAAGCCGGAATCTCACGATTCGGGAAGAAGCCTCTGAGGATTACCTCAGCCAACCGTTAGTTTGTCTCGAAGGAGAGTACTATTGGCGAGCAGAGTTTCAATTTAATTTGAAACCCCGGAAGCGAAAAATATATTTCCAAAAAAATATTTCAAAAATATATTCGATTGATGCTAGGGATGTTTATAAGGAAAATAGTCACCATCGTTTCACGGGAGACAGACTCTCGAGCGTGGTGATCGATTCGCGATGCTGATCTACGTGGAAAGTCTTAGAATAACGTGAGGCTCCTTTGCGATCATTTCTCGCTTCCATGGTAGACCGGGCTTCTCTTCCTGAAGGGGCTCAAACACATACGATCGACAACGGCGACCTCTTCTCGGGCTCAACCTCACGACAATGTCTCGAGCGACGGAGGTTCAATCGCATGTGGGGACGGGCTGAAGTATCACTGTCAAGAGTGACCCGTTCCTTGAATTCGATGATCTCCTCTCTAACGATTGTGGAACGAGCCCCGCACGGGAAGCATTTTGAATTTCAGTCTAAGGCGTTCGGGGAGCCGCGGGAGTCGCCGAGACATTTGCTGATGAAACGCAGAGTCAGTCCCGAGCTGTTCAAGAGCCTCATTCACCGATTGTGGAACGCTTCGCGAAACAAGCAACAGAATACATTCTATCATCAACGGTCAACCGTCGATTTCTACCATCCCACGAATGACCCGCGACTCATCGGCGCCTTGTACCCGCGTACAGCGAGAACGGCACTCATTCTCGTGGGCTTAATTTTCAACAGGAGGGGACGGAATCATAATCGGAATACATTGAACAGATGAGCTCATCGTCGGACAGCTCATCGAGGACCCGAGCTAAGCCGCTACAGCCGAGCGCCCACTGTGAGCTATCGTCTTGTGTCCGAGTGGAAGACGGCAAGGAGTTGACCTCAGAGGCTGGCTGGGGTCGGTGTGAGCTGGCAGAAAGCTTCTCTATCAGCTCGGAACTCATGATCCATCATAACGAGATCTCTCCTGAGCTGATTCAACTGCATGTAGTTTTCGATGTGTGACTTTACAGAAATAGAGCACGGGCGAGTTGAGTCACACCTCCTCTTGAGTCCTGCTCTGCGTCGGTCGGCTCCTCCCCGGGTGAAAGCTCCTCACAAGGTGCAACGACGCTCAGGTCCAGAACAACTCGCGTCCTGTCTCTCATCCTAATTGCTCACCCTGAGGGCAGTTTCCTGAACGGCCATGTTGCGTTGCTGCGACCCGGTCACGCTCGTTGTGACGAGCTGATGCTGTGAATTTTTCAGAAACGACGGCAGTACCTCCGAAGCTCAGCCGCTTCCACCGGGGAATGATAGGTTTCTCGTGTTCGATGCCTGATGCCTGAGGTCGGCGGCAGATGCGATCCTCACTCGGCTACATAGCTCAGCGACGGTTCGGCGGATGATCGGGATTTCTCCAGCCTCCGAAGGAGGACAAGACGGAGATCATCCATGGTTGTGAGTAAGCCAGCTCCGACATCCCGGACTGACGCTTCTTGTTCGAAGACCAGGGCCGTCCTCTGCAGGAAATGCGCTCAGAACGGACGACGCGTACCTACATATTCAGGCACAGCAGGCCCGCGGCCCAGACTTTGGCAGTTGCGGCAAGCTTCCGAGCTGTATTTAGCGGCAGAGTCGGGAAGATAGTCAATGCGGGCTGCTCATCCTCGTACTGTGCAGGTGCTGATTAGGGGATGCTCTCCCGGCGATGCTGTGCTTGTCATCGATGAGCTAGCCGTGCATGAACAAAGACTCCGATCAGCTTTGAGGATCTTATTCATTCTCCATCGGCGGCCCCGACTTGTAGGAGAGCTCTGGTGCCTCTGTATGCGCTGATCGCGAGAGACTGACCGGGAAGGATGGTATTCAGGGATCTCGATCCATGTCGTCTCTTCGAACTTTATGCACGATTAGGTAAGACAATTCTTTGATCTTCGAAATTGTTGGTTGAGGTGCCGCTTTTTCCCCGTGAGCCTTGATGATAGGAACCGTTTCTGGCTGTCGCCAGCTGATATTATCGCGCTCCTACTGTATTTGAGTGGCACTCAAGTGTCGCCCAGATACCTGAATGTGGGGAGCCATTTCGACAATTCGAGGGCTTAGGGGCCCTGCGCCGCATCGATCTGTGTCCCGTGTTAGATAACGGAATCGGGAAAGATAAATTTATCCGCAGCTCCCACGATCGAGCCTCAACGGGACGTGGCACAGTCTCGAAAAACGCTCTTGTGCACTTAATGTGGATGACCGTTCACTTTCCTGCGGGCATCGACGCTTGATGGACCCTGATGAAGACATCTCCGATGAAGCTCACGGTAGTCGGGTGCTGTTTCGCCTGACGTCCGCGACTCTTGAAGCCTCGGCTCCTCCGCTTAGTTAACATTCCGCGACGCGTTTTCTCCCGCCGCATCGGGGAGTTTAGCATTCGTCATCGACCGGATATGATAGAGCCTGCCAAGTTACCACAGGGATACGGAGAGTTTCCCCGGATCGTAGAGTTCCTTCCTCGTTTCAGGCTTGTCAGTCCTTTCCCTCCTCGAGTCCATGTTTACTCGGGAGGCGGAGACGGGTCTTAGATTAGGCTAATCTGAACTTGTTCACACTCCCTGTGACGAAATACCTCAGAATGCAGCGCGGAGTACGGAGGTGAGCTGAGGCATTCGTGCTCAAGAGCAAGCCCATTCGACTCTGAGCGTATCAGTGACTGTTAGTGGGCCCTCCGCGAGCTTCTACCTCATCGAACCGGGTCGACCGGGATGGATCGCGGGTCGAGACGAGCCATTCAATCTTCCAGACTTTTGAGGACCTGAAGGCTACACATGGCAGACGCCGTCGCTGTTGATATCGTCTTTTCCAGCCGAGAAGTTATCATCATCGAGAAGAACTTGCCGTTTCGGTTGCGAATGATCGGTAAATCCCAGCGCAAGCAATGATTGCATCGATGAGTTCCTCGTAATGCTCGAGATGGAAAGGACTCCCACCCGAGGCTCATGCTTACGCTGACTATTAAAAGGGAGTCCGGATATCCACCGGTGGGAAAGGTCTGCTCATTCTCCATGCAACTGGAAGCGTTAGGTGTCGTTTTCGTCCGACCAAGCGATCAAATATGTAGACACGAGCACTCCATATGTCGAACCCAAGGTCCAGCGTAAGCGTCGATCACTCGCTTTTCACAAGCGCACAAATGCTCAGCATATGGCATACGCCATTCATCACGCCATATCCATGCCGTCTAGGCACTCGGTGGGGCTTGCTGGACACAGTCGCACTCATGTGGGTTGGGAAGTATGCGGACAAACATTCATACATATATCGCACCTCTTGTCATCAATGCAATACTTTGCTTCATTGACCCATCGGATGCAGGATGTGCGGTCGGGCAGACTCGAAGATTGGCAAGAGTAAAATTTTTCGAAAGGCGAAAAACTGTTACGGGATCGACTGTCATGGACCATTGATCTGGTCGGCATTGAACTCCGAGTATAACGAAGGATATCGGGTATTCTTATCGGAAACGACAATATTCGCTCCTAGAATTGTGATTCCCAGAGAGCCTTCACTTGGATCGATGCTTTCCCAGCGAACACCGATTCTCAAACATCGCATGAAGGAGACGGTCTGATCCGATGTCACTGAGCATTGAGCGATTCAAGAGTATAGCTTCCGCAGCATCATTAACTTTCACGGTCTAAGGGGCTTCCGGTGCGTTGGCGGTGGAGAAATTTTGTTCGGAAAAACCTTAATTGCCATGACGGCGTATGATGATGAGATGCATAACAGCATACTGCACTCAATAGAAAAATCATCGCATGACACCTCAAAAGTGACGAAAATGAGGAATTATTGTTTAAATTCGCAAGATAATTTGCTCGAAATCGGAAGTCTTCCTTCTCTCTTCCAGCGTTCCTGTGTCGTCACCACGAGAAGCATCGAGGGCCCGAGGCGCGGAAATATGGAGGTCCTACTACCTACTATGGAGGTATTTCGCTGTGCCATGGCTGACCTAAATCCGGCATCCTACCAAGGAGAGTTGAACCCGTGGCTTTTCTTCAGGTAGCACCGTACCTGGAGACACCAGCTGCCCGACCAGCAACCTCCGGCGGGATTCTACGCCGTTCGGCACAGTGAAGGTGGTTATTGCGCATCTGCATGCGGCGTGTGAATCGTTCCAACCGAGTCGTTCATTCGTCGGACCTAAGCTTGGAAGTGTGCCAGACTCATCCTTGGAGAAATTTCGCCAGAGGATTGCTAGGAGCTCTCCACCATCGAATCATCAAGCAACGCCCTCCTCGATCCCCCTTACCGTGCCGTTGATGCTGCTGTGGAGGAAACCATCGCGGGAGACTCGGGTACGCAAGTCCCTCATGGAATAGCTGGAGTCCGTGATATGGGTTAAGGGTAAAAACGGGAAGCATTCCCGAGAATCCTCCGCGAGATTCAATCGTTCGATGGTCGACTTCTCTCCAATGATGAAGGGCGCAGGTCTACAGTACGTCAAGATACCGATGAAAAGTCGAGACACCATTCCCGACGAATTGTGCGTCTCGGCGTCGAGGAGATCATTGCCTTACATATGTATATATTAGCAGGAGACATCCTTACCAATATCACGTTGACGTGGAGAAGCCGCGCGTTAGTGTAATGGTACACCAGACCAGTGACTGCGCCGCGTAAGGAAGATGAGACATGTTACGCGTCTGACATGGAATTGAAGTCGCGAACCGTGACGCTTCGAGTTCTCTCGAGTATTTCCCCATGATTTTCGTGCCCTTAAGGTCTTCTGATCGCGACGCGAGTGTGTCATTTTTTCGTGACATCCGGGACTCGAACAAGCCGTCGGTAGCATAAAAGCATATACTTATTTCACCTGTGTTTATTATATAGTATTTGCTTGTCATTGTATTGACTCAGGTGCCAGAGGATGCGAAAAGCCTGATAACTCCACGCTAGAATCATCTTCGCAGCATTGTTCGGTATAATACGGAGGAATTTCATGGAGACCCTTCCAGTGACCCATTAGGCGTGCGTCGCGGACGACGCCCCATTCAATTATCGAGTTAAGAGCATGACTGATGTTTGAGATGTTAGAGAGGTCGCACGTGTTCGACATGAGAAAGAAAAATCATGCGCTCCACACAATCGTGAGCGAAGTTCCGCCATCATATGGCTCGAAGGCTAGCCTTATGACCGGAAATTTCATGGAACAACCTCCGCTCCAAACTCCTCTTCAGACCAATGAGGACACTTCACTTCGTATGGGTGAGACTTAGGATTGCACTTCGAAGAATCCGAACGGCGCGGGAACTTCTGGGATCTTGATCGTTGACTACGATCTCTATAAACCATTGTCCCCACGGAGCATCACCGAGAGCGGAGCAACTAATCCTGTGGACAGCTTCTTATCATCCGAGCATTGTTCTGATCGGAGCCTCGATGAACGTCTGGCGACGCTTGTAAACAAAAGATATGCGATCCGTGCGAGACCATCTCGTATTCCGCTCGCGTGATTAGGACCGGTCTATTCATAAGGATTCGGGAACACAGAACCTACCCCGATGAGAATAAGCCGGATCCGGTCTCAAGTTCGCCGTTGGGAGAAAGTTGTGCCATCCCGGGAGAAAGGATCCACGATCAGGTCTATTATATCGCAGCGGATACTTTAGCGCTCACGTATTGGAAATTCCTTACGTGAGCGACCAGCTTCCGGATACAATGGCATCGCTGAAAATCGTAACGTGATAGATGTAACGGGTCACGTATTGGACATCTTGAGGGGCAAGGCTGGATATGACTGAAGAGAGTGAACTCGATGTTGCATTTTCCGGACGTGGTCAATATGGCTATGCAAAGTGATGCCCTTCTTGATCCAGAAGTCTCGGCTGTGTGATCATTCGTCTGAGATAAACTCAGAAGTCGAAGCTGGGAGCAGAAGGAATCGCAGTCTATGTCCCGAGAATCGAATCATTGTCGGCACACTATCGGTGGATCTATGCCTTGCCTGTGACCCACCCTAGAGCGATCGCTGCTTTGAACCAAGACTGTTGGTCTATCGAAAAATGGTTTTCGGATATAACTTTCATCGCAAATGCTGGAGAGATTCTTGAGAGAGGGATTCATGACGGACAAAGAGCCAGGACAAAGATAGACTGACGATTTCGGCGGGGGCTCATGGTTGTATCGCACGTAGCCCTTAAGCACTAGGCTCGGAT